GGGGGGGGGGAAACAAGGAAAAAAAAAACGCACCTTAGCATCGTCTGCACCAATGACAAAAAGTAGACGTACAAAATGAATGTACAACTTTTTTTTTTTTTTTTCACCTACTAATTGAATCCCCTTCTTAGGCCAAACAAGAACTCAGAGAGTAAAACAACACCGTTTCAAAAAAAGGCGAGAAATCAAAGTCAACGGAAGGAAAAGCGGCGCACGCGGGTCAACGCGCTACCTGAGTCAAGCATTGACCAAAAGTACGCTCGCCTGCGCTCTCTCATTTCGGGAAATGTCACATCGACATTATGAGAGGCCAAGAGATCAATGACAATCTGAGCCCAAGAACGGTCATCCTTCAGAACCACCTGTTAAACAGCCGTCACATAAATACACCGGGAAAACATCATCATCACAAATAATAATAAAAAAAAAAAAAAAAAAAAAAAAGAGCAAATGAAAACAATCAACATAAAATGGAAGCCCCTGGGAAATGAAAAAGAGGCAATGAGCCTACAGTAGCTCAGTGGGTACACCCAATGTACTGTTGAAATACAGACCCGAGTTCGAGTCCAGCTGCAATCAGATGAACAGAACAAAATAACTCTGAATCACCTGGGTCCGTCAGCTAGCAGTGATGATATCCAAAGCCCGTCACCACTTTTACAGTTGAAACTGTAAAAGTGTAAGAAAAAGAAAAAGAGCAAGAAAAGGGCAAACCTTCAAAGTGGTAAAAATACCGGCAGCCCTCAGACATACAGTTCCATCTTTTTTTTTTTTTTTTAACAGTACATTTAAATTGATTTAATTATCGTTCTTTTTTTTTTTACAGTAAATTTAATTACCGTGGAACTTAACACAAGATTACCGTGGAAGTCGACACGAGACTACCAACTCTGATCGCCCTGATTCGAAATTACAAGTGGACGAGCAAAAGTCGACGGTTTTTTTTAACTTTTCTCGTTTCCGGCATTTCCGTTAATAACGACCCCATTAGATGCCGGAATGCATTGCCACGTGGCACAAACCCTTTCAAGTTGCTACATAACGACAACGGTCACTTCTGTGGTACTTACGACAGTAGCTCACCCTGCCCAGTGCCCACCATGTTAACTTCTTCAGGTCCTCAATCTTCCGAAACACTCTCACACACACACACACAAACACACACACGCCAGTTCCCGCACACACACACACACACACACTTAGAGCGAGATATAGGGAAGGAGAGGAACAGAGCCGGATCTTATCATAAACACAGAGAGAGAGAAACCACACACACACACACACTTACACACACAACCAGATATAGGGAGGGGGAGAGAGAGAGCCAGAACAAGTAACATTCAGGCAAATAAGAAACACAGAGAGAGAAAGAGAGAGAGGGGGGGGGAGGGGGGAGTCGGGGAGACTCCTGAAAAAGACAATACTTTTGTATATTTCACAGAGAGAGCGACGAAGAGAGAGAGAGAGAGAGAGAGAGAGAGAGAGAGAGAGAGAGAGAGAGAGAGAGAGAGAGAGAGAGACATACGTATTCATCGAAAGTATAGTTGAATGGAATTCCTCGCTCCTGGAAAGCCCTCCCCCACGCTTTGTACGTCAATACATCGGTGTTGATAAGCACACCGTCCAAACCCATCAAGAACAGATCAAACTCGGCAATTGAAAACGGAGGCGCCACAGAACGCGTCACTGGCAGAGAGAATCCTCCAGTCGCAGCCATCTCGGAAGCACCTGCTTTTTCTTTTTTGTTTTTTAAGTCTACTTCCTGCTGCTGCTCGTCCTCCTCCTTCCACACCTCCTCCTCCTGCAACTGTCGTCACTGTCCTCCTCTTCGAGAAAAAATTTCTGCAGTCAGACCAGATCAGACCATCAAATCCACTCAGATATGGTCACACCAAATAAGAATCTTATCAGCTGCTATCCTATGAGATTGACCATGCCTCTTCTCTTGATGCACTGGGCCTTCTACTTATTGATACCTCCCTTTCCAACTTCGTTCGAAGTCATAAGACCTTATAGGGCTTCTGAAATTCTGAATTGATTGGCAAAACTGCATCAATTGTTAAACCAGATTCATCAAACATGGACCTGGTGGGATTCTATAGTGGAGTCGTGGAGCTGTGGAGCTCGCTTACTTTTTTTTTAAATCCTCCACTTCTTTTTTTCCCCTCTTTTGTCCTCATCTATTCAAGTTCCAAAAACGTCACAACTTCACAAGAACCCACCCGCTCCTCCAGACTGCATATGCCAATGACGCCATCATGGGCATCGAGATTAGTAGATTACCACATCGGAACATCCTGCCCGTCCATCAACTGATATTTTGAACGGGACCTGGTGACTTGGACGTGGGCGTGGAGGTGTGTGGACACTGCGGACAGTGTGGAGTTGTCGAACTGACTCGAACAAGCCGCACGCAACGTCCACATCAGCAGCACACCCGCTGTCACCCAGTGTCACCCACCCTCGCCAACTGAGGGTGATCCAATAAACTCGTGTCAACGGTGTCACACAAAATCGCCCGCAGAAGGATGTGCACCCGTCAAAATCATACAGTCAGATTTCGCGTTTTCAAGTGTTTCTTCAGTGAAGAATCGAATATTGTTCATCCCAGCCCCCCCCCCCCCCCCCTCTCTCTCTCTCTCTCTCTCTCTCTCTCTCTCTCTCTCTGTGTGTGTGTCTGTGTGTGTGCGTGTGTACACACTCACCCACACACGCAAAATCCGTTGAAAAACAATGTCAAAATCATATTAAAATAATAACAAATTCCTTACAAATCGAATAAATGTCATCTCAAAGGTAACTAAAAATCCAGCCGATGTACTGAAAACACAAAAGCACAATTAAATCAAATTGTCATTCAATTAACGACACCAAGTAAATTTTCTAACCAATTGACGTAGCTGAATGGTTCGCACATGGAGCTGTAAATAATTTTAATAAGTTGGATAAAGAAAAAGATCATGCGCTATATGAAACCGGAGGAAAATGCGAAACAAAGGGAAAAAAAAAAAAAAGTGGGAAAGAAGGTGTAGTACTAGACCGAACGTCAAGAATTCTCAACATACTTAACCCCCCACCGTCTTCACCGTTTTCATTCTACGGTTCTACCTCTTCACGTGGAAACGAAATTTTCGTTTTTCTTTTTCTTTCTCTCTTTTTCTCTCTTTTTTTTTCTTCTTTTTCCTTTTCTTTTTTTTTCCTTTTTCTTTTTCTTTTCCTCCCCTTTCCTCAATCCTCGGAACTGTCGACTTCAAGAATCGTTACTGGACACTTGACTGGGGTCTCCACAACATTTTACAAACGAGCAAGGAGATTAAAAAAAAAAAAACGAAAAACAAAGACGAATTACAAGTGACCAACAATACCGGAAGTTCGACATTACAAATAAATTTAAAAAACGAAGAATTTTTCGGAAAACAATTACATCTATCCTAGCGAACAACGAAACAGCACTCAATCGAATTGAAACATTGGCGGTCACGAAGAACAAATCATCTTTGTCGAAGACTGAGGTATTAACCGGTACAACGATGCACTTACATCTATCCTCGCGACTGCGCCTATTCTTAAATGTATCTGATCGCATTTACCGCCAGACCTCCATGTATCTACAGAATTCTACACGCAATCACGTCCAGAAATAAATGAACAAGGTCCTAGTGTGAGACTATGAGTATGCCTTTTCTCTCTCTGTTCTCACGATCGTGAAATATTTGTGATAACAAGGCAAGAACGGAACTGTTGCAATCACTTCCGCACAGTTTCGTCAGAATTTTAAACAGTCCGCAAACCTTATTGGAGTCACAAAGGGGGAAAAGAGAGAGAGAGAGAGAGAGAGAGAGAGAGAGAGAGAGAGAGAGAGAGAGAGAGAGAGAGAGAGAGAGAGAGAGAGAGAGAGAGGTCGAAGGACCATATAAGTCTTGCATACAAAAAAAACACAAAAAAAAAAGGTAGTACACTTCGGCATCTTTTCGCACAGAATGGATGATTCCACAGACAGCCTTTATGGATCCCCGTCTTTTCACACAGAATGACTAGACTCTGACTTATACTCTCTGTGTGTGTGTGTGTGTGTGTGTATGTGTGTGTGTGTGTGTGTATGTGTGTGTGTGTGTGTGTGTGTGTGTGTGTCTGTCTCTCTCTCTCTCTGTCTGTCTGTTGTGATGCTCGCTAACTTCGCTGTGCATAATCATCATTGAACCATGAGTATGATACTAGTCTTTCGTCGAGCTTTCACCATCAGGAAGTTACGCGTACCTCTGTGGCCCGGTGTTACGCAAGTAAACACGCAGTCGTACGGTCGTACCCGTTGGCTTACCTCAGCACGCCGCCTTTATAGTGCACCTTCCAGCACCTCCCCCAGGCTATGGCGCCCTCTCCCGCGTACAGATGCCCGACAAGCCCACGTGCAATTCCTCGCTCCCAACTGCCCGTCTCCCGAAGAGAAAGCGCAGTTGAAGTTCTCCACCCTCTCATGCACGTGCGCCCTCCACCCGCCGCCCACCACCCTCAACAGATCAAAACTCCTCGGCCGTTACGGGGTTGTTGCTATGCTAACTCTCCCTAGGCCGTATGGATTAATATACAAATAGCATGGGACATCACCATTCAAGTGCTATGAACCCTGCCAATAGCTATGTAACGAATTGTTGGCGCGAGAGCGAGGGCGGGACCAGACGCTTGCCTGCTTGGCCTCCTGGGCGGTTGCCTGCATGGTACGAGTAGGAGGAGCTCTCTGCTGCTACTCGCTGTTTTCCGAAGTCCGCCGATATTTGGGGGCTCACTCCACTGCTCAACGCTCCACATGCATTTAGACGATTTCAGTTCAAGGTGCATTCGGATGAGCCCAAGATTTTGAATGTATGTTGTCCACCCAGTCGTCCAAAGGCATGCATGTAGAGTATTGTGTAGTGGAATAAATGCCCTTGGTTTGCTTTCTAGGTGAGGGGGAAGCGCCCCGGAAGCCCATTACAATACAGTGACGGCTCGATTGGTTTATTAACAGAGCTACGTACGTGCGTGCGTGTGCGTGCGCGTGTGCCTGTTGTGAACCGCAAACGACGCGCTATTTCTTGAAACTTTCCCAAGGGGAAAAAAAAAAAAAAAAAGGAATAATGGTTTTGAACTATGCAGCCAGAAGGCAGGTGGACGTCTTAAAAAAAAAAAAAAAGCAGGTGGTGCGACCGCTGTTCTCGGCTTTCGGACATCTCCGATGATTGTGTTCTGCTAGACCTGTCACGCAATTGACTTATAATTTTTATAAACACCCCCCTTCTCCCCCCTTCCCCCTCCCCAAACCCCCATCCGGCCCCCCACAAAAAGTAGTACACAATGCACCTGTGGATCGTACACTCTGTGAAGCGTGGTACGACTGCAGTGTACGACGTATGCAGTCCAGACCATGCAGCACACCGCATTGAACAGAACTGAAATGGGAGTGGTAGAGACTCCAGAGAGTTCGGAGCACGATATAGTGTATTACGTAGTGCATAGAAAGTCTAGCTCATAGCATATAACATAGACTACATAGCGTAACATAGACTACATAGCGTAAATAAACAGTAAGTACATAGCGTATAGTGCATAGAAAGTCTAGCTCATAGCATATAACATAGACTACATAGCGTAAATAAACAGTAAGTACATAGCGTAAATAAACAGTAAGTATCGTACATTGCATAGTATGTGGAAAGTATCGCACATAGGCTTAACATACAGAGTACATAGTGTACATAGACAGTATAAGGTAGTTTGATACATAGTATCTTACACTAGGACAGTCTCGTACATAACGTACAACATAGACTAAAGAGTATAGGAAGTTTGAGACATATTATCTTACACTAGCTAAGGACAGTTTCGTACATAACATACAACATAGACTAAACACTAGCAGAAGTATGGGAAGTTTGAGACATAGTATCTTATGAAGATTATCACGTAGCAGGACAGAGAACAGAAAGAACGTACTAAAGGACAGAGAACAGAAAGTCTGAGAAGGAGAACATAGCCTATTGTCAACAGCACAGTGCATAGCCATGATAGCCTAGAACGTACTAAGTACCAAACATAGCCTATTGTCAACAGCACAGTGCATAGCCTAGAATATAGTAGGCAAGAGTACTATATACCTCCCAGGTGCCAGGGCAAAACCTTTGTAGGTGTTTACCTGGTTTATATTGCAAAAAAATTGCAAAAAGTACCTCTTCGAGTGTTTGTGATTGCGTAGGAATCTTTTGTTTTGGCCTGGATTTTCACCCCTCGGGCCATTGTCCGAAACTTCTCGTTCACTTCACCTCGCTCCCCACCCTAATCTGGCTCTAATCATATGTCACCCAAAAGGGTGCTAAACGCTAAAGGGAACATTTTGTTCCTCATATATTATTCTCTTTGCATTCTTAAGAGCTCTTTGTTTTTTTTTTCACAGCTTCCAAGTGGTTTCTTTTTTCTCGATTGAGACTGAAACCTTGACTCGATCTTCTGGTTGAATTATATTTCTACAGTTCTATAATCTTCCTAAAGCGACAAAAGAACTTACGGCAGGTTAAGATATCAACCTAGATATTGACTTGTTGAAGTTGGCGCCCCGATAGCTGGTCACGCCATTAGGATGAGGTGTGACGCCCAAACCTCACGCCCAGCGCGACTTCCTGATCGGAGTAGGATGGGGGCCTGGAAGTGCGAAAAGGGGGTGTGCCAAGGAGTTTGGGAAAGTGGGGGTGGAGTCCCACTGTCCCAGGTCGGAACTGAGATCTCTTGTGGCAGGTTTTAGGGACAATGGCGCAAAATGGGGCGCACGGATCGTATTCGACGTTTCGGCCTTCGGGGATGGGCCTACGGCCTCGGCCAGTTGCGTCGCCGTGGTCGGTCCCTT